ATAGTTGCTTTGAAGATTGTGACTTTTTCTCCTTCATCGTTCTCCCTATCTATTGGGGGGTGTCGGCGTTAGGCCTTGGGTGGGATTTTCCGAGACAGTTCCACTTTTCATTCCCGTGCTAGTCAAAAGGAAGGGGAAAGATTCTGTGGATACAGGAATGGCGGGATTCTTGCTGAAATGATGACTTTAATGTTGTGACTTGAGGCTGAAATTGGTGACTTTATTGTGCCTTCGGTGTGCATCTTTAAAAAGATGCTTTTAGCTAAATAAATAAATAAATGAATGTTGTTCCAGTCTTGATATGATGGAAAGACTTTTTTTTTAAGAGCAAAGTTTGCATCATATTTCCCAAGGTAAATCAAACCCTAGCTAAGGAGCACAAATTTGGATCCCATTGAGGTTTTGGGGTGTGACGGACGAGGAGCTGTTTGTCTTGTGATTCCCTTTGTTCCCATTCCACTACATAAACGATACTTCAAAGAAAAACATCTCGTCACTTGGCTCACTCCTGGGCACAGCTTCTGGGGGAAGATCGTACGGACAAACCCAGTTAGAACAGCTGAGCGAACATGAGGGGGGTACAGGGGACTGTACCCGGAGAATGAGTAGAAGTGTGGGACCATCATGTGATCCCAGCCTATGAAAAATGCACGAATGCGGCCCAGACCAAAGAGCTGCACACAGATTGGAGAAGAGCTCTGTAGCTGTAACAATTGTAAAGGGATCTGGATTTGGCCAAGGGTGTTTTGTCCATATTAACCTCAAAGGGTGAGAAACGGTACCCTGGATCCAAGATACTGTCAGCTTCTTGTTATTTTTACATCCATATGTGGACAGAGATGTATATATGTCATATAAGTTAGATGATAGATAGATAGATAGATAGATAGATAGATAGATAGATAGATAGATAGATAGATAGATAGATAGATAGATAGATAGATAGATAGATAGATAGATAGATAGATAGATAGATAGATAGATAGATAGATAGATAGATAGATAGATAGATAGATAGATAGATAGATAGATAGATAGATAGATAGATAGATAGATAGATAGATAGATAGATAGATAGATAGATAGATAGATAGATAGATAGATAGATAGATAGATAGATAGATAGATAGATAGATAGATAGATAGATAGATAGATAGATAGATAGATAGATAGATAGATAGATAGATAGATAGATAGATAGATAGATAGATAGATAGATAGATAGATAGATAGATAGATAGATAGATAGATAGATAGATAGATAGATAGATAGATAGATAGATAGATAGATAGATAGATAGATAGATAGATAGATAGATAGATAGATAGATAGATAGATAGATAGATAGATAGATAGATAGATAGATAGATAGATAGATAGATAGATAGATAGATAGATAGATAGATAGATAGATAGATAGATAGATAGATAGATAGATAGATAGATAGATAGATAGATAGATAGATAGATAGATAGATAGATAGATAGATAGATAGATAGATAGATAGATAGATAGATAGATAGATAGATAGATAGATAGATAGATAGATAGATAGATAGATAGATAGATAGATAGATAGATAGATAGATAGATAGATAGATAGATAGATAGATAGATAGATAGATAGATAGATAGATAGATAGATAGATAGATAGATAGATAGATAGATAGATAGATAGATAAGGTGGATGGCGATAGATAGATAGAGGGGGTGTATGTAGATAGATAGATCGATCAATAGATCGATAGATAGATAGATGAGGTGGATGGGGATAGATCGATAGATAGATTCAAAAAACAGCTAGATAGATTTATGGATGTTAGGTCCATCAATAGCTATTAGCCAGGATGGGTAGGGACGGTGTCCCTTGCCTCTTTTTGTCTGGAAATGGATGACAGGAGAGAGATCATGTGATGCTCTCTGGGGCATCTGGTACGGGCCACGTCAGCAGACAGTATACTGGGCTGGATGGGCCTTTGGTTTGACCCAGTCTGGCTGTTCTGCTGTTCTTATCTCCAGTCTGCTCCAGGCTCCAACTTTCGGTGCCCAAATCCCTTTCCACGTCTTGCCCACGGATTGCACCGGAGCAGGCTGGACTCCTAGGCGGGAGGCCCCGGCCCTGTGTGGCGCGAAGGTGAAATCCCACGATAATGACAGCACACTGGGGACGTCCAATTGACATTGGCAGGTGCTTTGCCTCTGAGTCTCTGCGTCGGAGCCGTGCCGAGCCCCAGGGAGCGCGTCCCACCAGCCCATGACAATTAGCCCGGGATAAATCACCTCCCAACCGTTCAGCCGCCCGACGTCAGCGCCGCTCCCCACCAGCTCCATGCGGCTCAGCCACAGAGATCGGCTGGCAGGTCCCGCTCCAAAGCCACGTCCCTCCGACCGGGGCTGGAGCCGCATTGCAGTGTCCTGGCGCAGGGAACAGAATCCCCCTGCAGAGTCCATGCGCCCTGCGCCCCTCCCCACCAGCTCCATGCGGCTCAGCCACAGAGATCGGCTGGCAGGTCCCGCTCCAAAGCCACGTCCCTCCGACCGGGGCTGGAGCCGCATTGCAGTGTCCTGGCGCAGGGAACAGAATCCCCCTGCAGAGTCCATGCGCCCTGCAGTGATGGGAGGGGGCTTCCTTAGGACCAGCCCTGCCGTGTCTCCTGGCAGCTAGGGCCTGGCAGGTATTTTCCCATTGATCCCCCTGCATCGACTTCGGTGGGGAAGGCAGCAGAGAGACACCAGGCTGGGTGGGACCTTACAGCCGGGAGTGGTGCGTTGGGCAGGGAAAAGCGAAGGGTTGAACGGACACTTGTGAATTTTGCATCAAAGCAAAACAGTGGTGGGGAAGATAGATAGATAGATAGATAGATAGATAGATAGATAGATAGATAGATAGATAGATAGATAGATAGATAGATAGATAGATAGATAGATAGATAGATAGATAGATAGATAGATAGATAGATAGATAGATAGATAGATAGATAGATAGATAGATAGATAGATAGATAGATAGATAGATAGATAGATAGATAGATAGATAGAGGGGGTGTGTGAGGATAGATAGATAGATAGATAGATAGATAGATAGATAGATAGATAGATAGATAGATAGATAGATAGATAGATAGATAGATAGATAGATAGATAGATAGATAGATAGATAGATAGATAGATAGATAGATAGATAGATAGATAGATAGATAGATAGATAGATAGATAGATAGATAGATAGATAGATAGATAGATAGATAGATAGATAGATAGATAGATAGATAGATAGATAGAGGGGGTGTGTGAGGATAGATAGATAGATAGATAGATAGAGGGGGTGTGTGAGGATAGATAGATAGATAGATAGATAGAGGGGGTGTGTGAGGATAGATAGATAGATAGATAGATAGATAAATAAAAGTATCCAGGCATTAGAGGACAGAGTGCATTATGAATTGTGGAAAATTCCACCAACTCCAGCCCAGGCGGTTTGTTATTTCAGTTTCAATCGGGCATTACCATAGGATAGATAGATAGATAGATAGATAGATAATAAAAGTATCCAGGCATTAGAGGACAGAGTGCATTATGAATTGTGGAAAAGTCCACCAACTCTATCCCAGTTTCAATCGGGCATTACCATGGAGGAGAAATGTAAGCACACACGTCTGCGTTGCCATCTGAAGCCTTCCTGCTCCCTTTAATCTAAGGCCAGATCAGAATTTGTCCAGCCTTCTGGGAGATGCTGAAACTTCCTTTCCAAAATCAGATTTCGACAATCAAACATTTCCTGCCGAGAGCGGCACATTTTAAGGGGGAAATTTGGTTTTTAGAAGGAAACAGAGACCCCTCTGAGACACACACAAAGCTGTAGGTGTAAGAAGGAAATTGCCCTCACAATAATCACCACCCACACTTGCAAGGAGCCGTAAGAGGCGTGTGTGTGGGGAGGTAAATATTGCCCCCTTTCAGCATAATCTCAAATGCGCTTCTGTCTTGTGTAACCCTGCCCAGTCCTCTTTGAAAGCACCAGTTTCAATCGGGCGTTACCACGGAGCCGTAAGAACCGTGTGCGCGGGGGGTGAATACTGCCACATTTTAGCATAACTTTAAATGGGCTTCTTTTTACTGCATCCTTGCCCAGTCCTGTTTGAACACAGGAGCGATCCAAAGCTACCGATGAACGGGCGATCCAAAGCTACTGATGGGCAGGGGACACAGAGATACAGAAGGGGGTGGGGAGTGACAGGTAACCTCGGGGAACAGGGCAGGGCAGGGGCGGAGCCCCAAACACAACCCACATCCACCGATGGCCCATGCGCCTGCGGAGCAGAGAACTACATGCAGAGCAGTGAGCAACACCACCCGGGAGAGACGAAAGGGACCCCCTGGACAGACCCTCCTGCCTTGGCGACGGGCGCTCGGCTGCTGTTTGGTGCTGCCAACCAGATGGTCACAGAGTATCTGGCTCTCCACAAGGGGGGAGGGGTACATGCAGAGCAGTGAGCAACACCACCCGGGAGAGACGAAAGGGACCCCCTGGACAGACCCTCCTGCCTTGGCGACGGGCGCTCGGCTGCTGTTTGGTGCTGCCAATAAGCTTGTCGCAGAGTAGCTGGCTCTCCACAAGTGGGAAGGGGAGGAGTCATCACCAAAACGCTGGCAAAGGAGTCTGGGGGTGTCCATGGAGCTCTGCCCCCAACAGCGGGAATCAGGCCAGGTCGGCATGTTTTAGAACTTCCGTGTCATGCCCAACGTGCCAGGCAGACTAGACGGACCCGTGTCCGTTGTGCTGGGGGTGAGTTGTCATTTGATCCATCCTTTGTACAATTATGGACTGCAGGCTCCCCTGGTGAGAAACCACCCCGCCATATTGGGAGACCTGTCCATTTACTCTACTGTGTTAATGCACTTGAGTAACGAGCTGATTGCCCGGGGAGAGGTGCATTCGTTGTGCTGTGTCACACAGCTGATGGATGCTGGGTCCCCAAGACACTCCCCTCGGGAGATGTTCCCCAGATGGAAACCAGAGTCTTTGTTCTTCCTGGCACAGGCAGGACACAATGACCTGAGGAAGAAAATGTCCAACCGAAGCGCCGAGTTCCTTCTCCAGGGCTTCTCGGACGTGCGGGAGCTGCAGATGTTGCACGTTGTCCTCTTCCTGGTGCTCTACTTGGCGGCCTCCATTGGGAACCTTCTCATCGTTACTGCCATAATCCTCGACCGCCACCTTCACACCCCCATGTACTTCTTCCTCGTGAACCTCTCCCTCCTGGATCTCGGCTCTGTCTCTATCACCATCCCCAAGTCCATGGCCAACTCCCTCCAGGACACCAGGTCCATTTCCTACGTGGGATGCGTCGCCCAAGTCTTTCTCTTCGTCTTCTTCGCCGCGACCAACATCGCCGTGCTCACCATCATGGCCTACGACCGGTACGTGGCCATCTGCCAGCCGCTGCACTACGAGCAAGTGATGAACTGGAGAGCATGTGTCCACTTGGCCACCGGCGCATGGTTGGCCGGGGCAGTCAACTCTGCCGTGCAAACTGGGAGCGCCTTCCGGTTACCCTTCTGCCAGCCCCATGTCGTGGACCAGTTCTTCTGTGAAATCCCCCCTCTGCTCAAACTCATGTGTGCCCACGTGTACCGCAGTGAAATTGGCATTCTGGTCTTTAGTGCGTGTTTGCTCTTGAGCTGCTTTACTTTCATCATTGTGTCGTACGCGCACATCTTCTCCGCGGTGCTGCGAATCCCTCCCGGGCAGGGCCGGCACAAGGCCTTCTCCACTTGCGTGCCTCACCTCATCGTCATCTCCTTGTTCTTCGGCACGGGCACCTTTGCCTACCTGAAACCCACTACTGGCTCGGCCCCAGGACTGGAGATGGCGTTGGCCGTTCTCTATTCTGTCATGACACCCATGCTGAACCCGGTCATCTACAGCATGAGGAACAAGGACATCAAAGCCGCCCTGCAGAAGCTGGTGGTATGGACATTGTTCACCAAGAAGAACATGTCTGTCCTTCTCCCATGACCACGATGTTAGACTGTGCTTCCTTCTTCAACTGATGCAAACGTTCTTTCTATGGGTAAATCACATGCTTAATCTTTATGTAATAGTAGAAAGCCAACTCCACGTAAGTCAAAGGTGTTTTTGCAGAGTTATACTGATGCAACTAAGGTCAGAACCAAGTTATTAATCCATTTTGAGGATTCTTACTTCTACGATCACCACGGGTACGTCTATACTGCACGGCTGTTTCGGTATCCCAAAATCGCTACTCTGCGTCTACACAAGCGGCCTCTTGTCTCCTCTTATTTCCTTGATTGTTTCTATTTTTTGGCTCATTTTGTTTCCTGGCTGGTCTGTTCTCTGTGAATTGGGGGGTGTGGGAAATAGGTGCTTCGAAACTTTGTCGTTCTCCCCATCTATTGGGGGGTGTCGGCGTCAGTCTTTGGGTTGGATTTTCCGAGGCAGTTCCACTTTTCATTCCTGTACTAATCAAAAGGAAAGGGAAAGATACAGGAATGGCAGGATGCCTGCTGAAATGATGACTTTAATTTTGTGACTTGAGGCTGAAATTGGTGATTTTATTGTGGCTTCGGTGCTCATCTTTAAAAAGATGCTTTTAGCTAAATAAACAAATGAATGTTGTGCTGTTCTTGATATGATGGAAAGACTTTTTTTTTAAGAGAAAAGTTTGTGTCATGTTTCCCAAGGTGAATCAAACCCTAGCTAACGAGGCGACATTTAGATCCCATTGATGTTTTGGGGTGTGACGGACAAGGCAACATTCTGCAATATTTTGTCTTGTTTTTCCCTTTGCTCCCGTTGTACTAAATAAATGATACTTTGAAGGAAAATGGCTCGTCACTCAAAAGAACGCAACAGTTTTTTCAACCACAGAAAATCTCATTTTACGAGGAAGAACGTCTTTTTTCGAAAATGCTTTTTCGAAAGAGAGAATCCAGACAGCCTGGGTGCTCTCTTTTGAAAAAGCGGCTTGCTTTTTCAAAAGTATCTTTCAAAAAAGTCTCTTTCAAAAAAGGCTTGTAATCTAGATGTAGCCAAAGATAGTTAGAGGGAATGTATATAGATAGATAGATAGATAGATAGATAGATAGATAGATAGATAGATAGATAGATAGATAGATAGATAGATAGATAGATAGATAGATAGATAGATAGATAGAGGGGGTGTGGGGGGATAGATAGATAGATAGATAGATAGATAGATAGATAGATAGATAGATAGATAGATAGATAGATAGATAGATAGATAGATAGATAGATAGATAGATAGATAGATAGATAGATAGATAGATAGATAGATAGATAGATAGATAGATAGATAGATAGATAGATAGATAGATAGATAGATAGATAGATAGATAGATAGATAGATAGATAGAGGGGGTGTGGGGGGATAGATAGATAGATAGATAGATAGATAGATAGATAGATAGATAGATAGATAGATAGATAGATAGATAGATAGATAGATAGATAGATAGATAGATAGATAGATAGATAGATAGATAGATAGATAGATAGATAGATAGATAGATAGATAGATAGATAGATAGATAGATAGATAGATAGATAGATAGATAGATAGATAGATAGATAGATAGAGGGGGTGTATGGGGATAGATAGATAGATAGATAGATAGATAGATAGATAGATAGATAGATAGATAGATAGATAGATAGATAGATAGATAGATAGATAGATAGATAGATAGATAGATAGATAGATAGATAGATAGATAGATAGATAGATAGATAGATAGATAGATAGATAGATAGATAGATAGATAGATAGATAGATAGATAGATAGATAGATAGATAGATAGAGGGGGTGTATGGGGATAGATAGATAGATAGATAGATAGATAGATAGATAGATAGATAGATAGATAGATAGATAGATAGATAGATAGATAGATAGATAGATAGATAGATAGATAGATAGATAGATAGATAGATAGATAGATAGATAGATAGATAGATAGATAGATAGATAGATAGATAGATAGATAGATAGATAGATAGATAGATAGATAGATAGATAGATAGAGGGGGTGTATGGGGATAGATAGATAGATAGATAGATAGCATTTAGACAAATGGAGATCATGAAAAAATGAAGCTAATGTCTCGATGTGCATGGTGCCAGAAGTCCATAGGAGTTTCATACCATTGAAGTCATCTGGAATGGCTTACTCCAGCACAAGCATTAAGACATCATGATAAATGATCCCCCTCTAAGAAACTCTACTGAGGTGGGATACGAATTGGGCTGATTTTTGGAGGGGTGGCGGCAGAAACGGGTGATGTCTCAAAACCAAACAGTTTTCTCAGGAATGGATGGGGTTTGATTTCCCATTCATCAGGGATGTTTCGTGGGTGAAGGATGGATTTTCTGGGATGGTTAAGGCTTGCTCCCAGGTTTTGGGAATCTCTCTGGTTCTGATTGGAAATTCCTGACACATCCGTTGGGGCTGGGGAAGGGGTGTTTTTTCCTGTTTCCAAGAAAGGGTTTAAACCTGGATTCTTTACACCCATGGGGAAGGGTGCTGGTAGAGCCAAGTGGTCAGGGTGGGCAACTCCAGGCTGGCAGGGGTGGGGCTGCGACTAGCTGGGGAGTGTCTCTGACTGACGGGTGGCGCTGGGGGTTTCTCTGGTGTGTGTGGGGGGGTGACTCCGTCGGAGGGAGGGACCCGGGGACCTCATTGACGGGGCTGCTCCAGGGCCCCGATTCCCGTCACTGGCCGGAGCTGCATTTCGTCCCCACCGGCTCTGCCAGAGCTGAGGGCGGGGGGCCCACCCTCCAGAGCCAGGCCTGGGGCTTTGCCCCCTCGGTCCTGCCCCATGTGGGGCAGCTGGAGGGTCCTTGCTCCCTTCCAGACAATGCCGCGGGTGACTCCGCCCTGACCCCGTGGCTTCAGCCAGCTGCCCCATAGACAGTTCCTTGGAAGCAGGCCTCGGCATGCGGGAGGGGTGGGGCTGGCTGTGCTCCCCCTGAACACAGTGCCCCCTGCTAGGGCAGGGATGTTGGGGAGCAATGGGGCCGGGGAGGTGACTCCATGGAGAAGCTTTGAATCGTTCCCCTCCCCCGGTCCTGTCGACTCAGGCTCTCTGCAAACTCAGGCATATGGCTACATTAAAACCAGCTCCCCCACCCCCATCTCCAGCTGTTGATGCCGGCGGTGGGTGCTTCCCATCTGGGGCTGACCCCTCTCACTCACCACGAGAGGAGGGAATTCCAACTTTCCTCGAGGGGAGGAGAGCAAAAACTGTTTAAAGAAAACGTGACGAAAATCTGCACCTATCTATGAAAATGCATTAAGCGTCCAAACCATGGATCCCGGCTAACTGCAGGATTCAATACAAAATCTTAGCTCAGTGATTGTCCTCCATGTTACCGATGGGGAAACAGAGGCACAGAAGTTGGCAGGCAATTTGGCTGCTAAGCCGGGCTTCGGTGGCAGAAGCTCATGCAGTCTTGTCCCCCGCTTCTCATCACACCCCTCTGTCCATCTGTGTTTGTGACCATCTTCATCTGGACTTTCTCAGGGAGTCCAAGGGTGTCCGTCCCTCACATGTCTGTGCCAGAATCCCTTAGGTTCCTGGGTACAATGGAGTCTTTGTATTTCTGAACGTTGAGAGAAGTCCCGTAGGTCCATCTTAATCAGATAGGCACAAGGCCATGATTACAAAGGCATGCTGGCCTTTGCATCTGATAGGAAAACCTGTGGAACTCCTTGCCAGAGGATGTTGTAAAAGTTAGGACTTTAACAGTGTTCAGAAAAAAAAAGCTAAGTAAATTCATGAGGTTGGCTCTTTTTTTCCATTGATGGATGACATCTCTATTAGCCGGGATGGGTAGGAATGGTGTCCCTAGCCTCTGTGTGTCTGGAAATGGGTGACAGGGGAGGGATCACATGATGATTCCCTGTTCAGTTCTCTCCCTCTGGGACACCTGGCATTGGCCACTGTGGGCAGACAGGACGCTGGGCTAGATGGACCTTTGATCTGACCCAGTCGGGCCGTTCTTATGTAGGAAACATTATTTACTTGCTCCCATAACACAAGAACTAGGGGGGCACCAAGTGAAATGAATAGGTAGCAGGTTTAAAACAAACCAAAGGTAGTATATCTTCACACAACCCACAGCCAACCTGTGGAACTCCTTGCCACAGGATGTTGTGATGACCGGGACTTTTAACAGGGTTCTAAAAAGAGCTAGATATTTCATGGATGTTGGGTCCATCAATGTCTATTAGCCAGGCTGGGTAGAAACGGTGCCCCTAGCCTCAGTTTCTCTGGAAATGGGTGACAGGGAAGGAATCGTGTGATGATTCCCTGTTGTGTTCACTCCCTCTGGGGCACCTGGCATTGGCCACTGTTGGCAGACAGGCCACTGGGTGAGATGAACCCTTGGCCTGACCCAGTCTGGCCGTTCTTATGTTCTTATGATCCTAGTGGGGTTGAAATGAAGAGAGTGAGTGTCTAACTCCCATTGTAAAGCAGCATACCTAGGAACTTTGCTAAATCCTATTAACATTCTTGTCCCCATCTGTAGATCCCTGAATCCCTTTGTAATTCTGGTCCAAAGAAAAGGGACTGGAATTGGGGCCTTCTGAGGAGATCCCAGGACCCATGGCAGACTAGACCTCGGTTTCGGTCCCGGTTGGCTTTAAATTTCTGGATTCAACGAACTTTTGCCCCTAGGCCTCAGCTTCTGAGCTCTTCAGGGAGTGAACCTCCCTGAAGGTGAAACACTGGAATAAATTACCCAGGGAGGTTGCAGAATCTCCATCTCTGGAGATATTTAAGAGGAGGTTAGATAAATGTCTATCAGGGATGGTGTAGACAGTATTTGGTCCTGCCATGGGGGCAGGAGACTGCACTCGATGACCTCTCGAGGTCCCTTCCAGTCCTAGTATTCTATGATTCTAAACCCCTTTGGCAACAGAAGGAGATAAATCCCTCGGTCCCTCAATGCCAGAGATTCCCAACCCTAGCT